ATATATATATATATATATATATATATATATATATATATAACAAACTGGGCCAGGGTAGCTAGAGGCCATTGACAAACAGTTATTACCAACAGAGTTGGATAGTATGACTTTATTGATACCACTACAAATGAAACCAGTGAAATGAGCCAATGGCTGTTTCAAATTTCTGCACTCATTGTTACTGATGCAAATCATTAGGTCTCCTCCACACTTCCGATACGTTGCGGGGCGGTCAGCTCGGTTTCTAATGTAGCCGTGTAGTTCAGTAATCTCCTCATCAATATCAACACGTGACCAGATCTCACGTGCCAGAATTGCGCCCAATTTCGTATATTCAATACGGTTAACACGATCAGATTTAACAGGTAATTCCCCAGGCAATAAACCGACGTTATCACTACTAATGGCGAATGCATAGTTCTAACACATCTGTTTGACTCTTCATCTGCCTCGATCCTTCATCAAACATCAATGTTGTATTTTTTTCTCACTGATTTCTAAAACTGATGTTTTTCCATGAAGGCGTTATGGGATTGAGCGGGTGACATCATCATACTCACAATGTCGATATAGCAACGACAGGGAAAAATAGTGTGCCGAAACAAAGGCAATATCAATTACTGTGTAGCAATGATCTAACAGGATGGATCAGTGCGGCCAAATTCAAAGATTCCGCCAAAGATTGAAATGCATCCAACTTTTTTCGAAGATCGTGGCGGTTGTCTGGACCGATGTGGACAAAGTTTGGACACGAAGAAGTCTTATTTAAGGATATTCGTGACCATAAATCAGAAGTTTGTTGCAAAAGAACTTCTCACATCCTCAGGTATCACTGTCGCTTCCAAAAGCCTCAGTAAGCGTCTCAAACAGCCTCTGCTAAAGAATCCCTACTCAGTGCCTTCTCGTGGTGGAGGTGTATACCCACCAAAGTGATAGAACGAAAAGCCGGTATCAGGGGCCATAACCGGGTTGGTGAACCACTGGTAGTTGACCTAAGAGAGTGGACCAAAAACCCTGATTCCAAACCAACCAAGAGTAGGCGTACGAACCACACCTTGCCGGTTGTAGCAGTGGTCACCGGCTCGACTGGGCATTGAGGCCTATTGGGTACCTTGGACGTTTGACCCCGTCCGAAGGGCGTATGATCCGATGAACTGGACACCGGCTCCCAATGGATTGCGGTTTTCACACCGCCCCGCTGCCTTGCGGGTCAGGCTTTGGTTAGCCAAAGGCTCCGGTTGTGGATTCCCTACGAAAATTCATCTGCCTTGGCCTGGGCAACCTGGCAGTATTCGGCCCACTTGCAAATCGTGGAGCGTCTTTCTTGTTATAAAGATTATTGTATCACGCTTTGTTTGGCACACAGTCTGTCCTCAAACCAGTGTGAAATATAATATACAATATAGACGTCACTGTCGAATGATTTTGATCACTCTTTTAGTGAAACAACGAAAACTATGTGGGTCGTTCAACACGAATCGGTAATATGAATAAAATATGCATAAATTATGCACCACTGAAAGTAGAGTAGAGGTGCAGTTTCGGAGGTCCCCAAAAGGCTCGATCGGTGGCTACTGACAAGGCATTAATTAAAGTTACACTTCCGCGTTTGCACGTAGACTGTCTGGTTCTCGCTAAATATCCAAAAATGATTTGACAGTGGGGATTTTGTGGATGGCCCACGTGATGTGTGCTGACACCATGAAAGACAGATCACCGTATGATAACGATAAAAACAATGGTACAACATTTACCACAACTGCAAAGTGACTCACTTTGTCATATCGCAATCCTTGGACTAGTTGAGGCACGTAGAAAATCATTGTATCTGACGGATAATTAGCCAGGACACGAACCGCATACTGATGCGTAAGCGGATGCTGGGGATACATACGTGAAAAGAACGACAGCGCGACAATCGGAGCGACTGGAGCCCAAGTGAGCACTTGTATCAACTGTTCATTGCGGTAAAAGAGAGAGAAAGGGCAACCGATAAGCATCAACCACAGGCAGTACGTAGGAAACATGAGTGATTACATAGGAAGAGGTAGTGATCTGTATAAACAGTCTGAAAAAACTGCAGCAGACCAATAGAGAATCGGTAGGGAAAACAGATTGGGAGCTAAAGAGAGACAAGCTTTGAATGTGTAAAACTGTAAACCTTTGCCACGTAGGCAATCAATTATTTTCTCCAAAACCAGAGTACGCTACAAATCTGAGTCGGAAATACCAGTCCCTCATTAATCTGTCGCAAGTTCGAAGCGAATCAGGACAACTGCGCGAAACAAACACATGGGCTGGAGCTCACCCCAGTAAATTCGAAAAGAAAAAACGCATATTTACTTAAATGACGCTGACTTGTAATGAATGAACGAATAAGGGGAAATAGTGTTCACCTGATATTAAAAAAGACATAAGGATAGAACGTCGGTGTTTGGACATCGCTGTCTACACAGCATTGCATGAGTCTGGTGAGGAAACCTGACGAGTAATGCCGGCGTTAAGCGCAGAGTTTTAAGTGGTCGTGGTCGTCCGCTGGAGCAAGTGGTGACTAGACCACATTGACTGGGGCATGTGTTGCGCATGTCACCGAATATATCGCCGCGACGGGCGCTGTTTGCTGATGCAGGTAGTGGGTGAAAAACGTAAAGCGTGGTCAACGTAGAATCTGGCATGAGAGTTTGAAAACCTTGACCAGACGATTTTCTCACTCAGACCCTGTTAGGATTCCTGGACGGGGAAATGGGAAGCAGCGCAATCGATGGTTAGAGACACAATGATAAACCTGAGTGTCGTAAACAGTGGCGCTCATACATCTCAGTGTCCTTGTAACCTTTGCTTTCACGGATTCTCTATCTTCAATCTGATATTGTTTGAAATAATCTGATTTCTGTTGGGTCCTTCATTAGTCACGGGAAAGCAACTAACAACGGTGCACGGTTAATGGTTGTAGAAACTGGAACCGAATGTTCACCCTTTTCTAATATAAGTATCCATGAAACTGCTGTATCATTCAGACAGGAGTGGCGGATTATACAGAACTCTCACATGCAGTCGGGAATACGTGGCATAGGGAGAGACCATATTCACATATTCCGCTGGTCGAATCTGAGTTGTGTCAGGGTCAGCTTGAACGGATCTACACATCGATACTTGGTCACTACTAAGAT